TAAACTAGCTGTTCCCATGCGACTTCATCCGCTTGTTTATAAAAAAATATTTTTTTTTGGTCACGTTTGTCAAGTTATCAATTGCAAATGTCAAAATGACATGACATTATGTCAAACCATATCAACCTTGGTTCCTTGATGTTGGCAGCAACTTATGGTCTCTTTCTCACATTAGGGTTTTTATCTAAAATCTTGACCGCCTAAGTTTTAATGGCGTTTAAATATATAGCCTAAAGCGTGACGCAAGTGTAGGGCTTTTTATCTAAAAAAATATATTCAACAATATGCTGTGATTGCTGACATCTTAGGCAACAAACAAGTGTGTGTTTACGCTTTATTATAATAGTATAGATATAGATAGTGTTTTGTATAACTCCACTGAATATAGTATAGGAGCTTATAGTTCTTAATGCACGCCAGTTTCACATCCCGTACACCGGTAGTGTGTACGCGGTAGTCTGAATTGCTTTTTTTTTTGCGAACTTGCGTAAATTTTATCAGGGAAAGTGTTACAAAAACTATGCCAAATATAGACTACATTTAACGTTGTAAGGTTTAGTAATCTATTTGTTTTTATTCTATCTCCGAGTAACTTTTTGTCAACCTTCCTTAACTTTATAGAATAGATTTACGATTTGGTATTGAATATTAATTAAGGGACCCCGATATTTTATAACTGTCCAATTTAATAAATTGTTTGTAGTTTTTCATGCGAATATAATTTGGAATGATAAATATTATCTTTATTTATTTAAACCTATGCTAACAATATTTTAACCTCGTATTTTACAAATAAATAATGTATATTATTTATTTTAATGTGTTAATATTAGCTTCGTTCTTCATTTGTTTAATATTTATATGTTAAAACACTTATACATTCCAATTGTAGATAAATTAATATTCTAATGAACTACTCTATCAAACTAATTTAACTCAATCTATATTAATATGAAAAAGAGAACAGATTTGTGTTTTTTTATAACATAATGTGGTTAACGAGCAGGCGGCCTAAATCCGCCGAAATGATAAAGCGACCGCTGCCCATAGACATCCGCAATTGCATTTCGTTGCCTACACTTAATTGACAGAAAAGGAGATTTCCATAACAGGATATTTCCCCTTCCTGTTCCTCTCCTGCGCTATCAAATCCACTTTTTCTTCTCATCCTTTTCGTATAAGAAAAAGGGTGGGAAGGAAAAAGGACTAAAATAGAGCCTCCGACACCACACTCATCAGACGAAACGCGGAATTGCATCTACTTCGCGCCTGTCTTCTGAGTGGTCGTGGTATTGCACCGGGCGAGTCGACCCATTTGTGCAAAGATGTAAAAGCTTGCTCTACCACTGTTAAAATACTACTGGGCCTATTTAAAAAAAATCTCACACCATTAAAAGGCTAAATTATCAGAGAACAACATATGTTGTGTGTTTCTTGTTTTTTAGTTTCACGCGGGTTACGTTGCGAGCAACACCTAGTAATTATTAAGAATAGACATTGATCTATGTTATAACTTCAAATAAATTACACGGAATAACATATTAACTTCACACGAAATAATGCTTGATGTAGAAGCAATTAACCGATTCGTTTTGATCCAACGTGTTACATTGGATGCGCTGACCGTACGTAATACGTCGAAAGTCTAGCGCCACATGCTCGTGTCTACCTACGTCACAGTCGAGCAAGTCGGGTACACTAATTAAGACTGAAGTCGATCATTTCCGAGCTTAATACGTGTTTGATATATTAAAGATTGATCGATTACTAGAATTATATTTATCTCGTTATGTATTGGGGTTAACAGATATAGAAATAATTATAAGCTTTATAGCGATATACTAGCTGTTTCTCGCGAATTCGTCCGTGTGGAATTATAAAGTACTAAAATTTAATAGTGAAAGAATTTTGGAAACCAAGCAAATTGTTTTTGAACTATTTCAATACAAGCAAAATACAAATCTATTCTGTATAATATTAGTGTAGATTATGGGTGTTTATTTTTTTAAGGGGAATAGTTACTATGTATTACCAATAAGGATATTAGTTAAGGTATAATGACTTGTAATAACCTATAGTATGACGCTCTTCTTGGCAGTTATAATATATAAACAGTCTTACTGCAAGCAACAAAGCATGTCACGTTCATGTGAAACATGACTGACGTGCTTTGAGCTTGTGGTCAATGTTGTTGACAACAGCAATATAATAGCTTTCGCCCACAACTCCATCATCGTATAATAAAAAAAGTAAGTAGTTTTCTTGTTTTCCACACTATCCTCTGTATGCCAAGTTTCATCAAGATACGTTCAGCAGTAAAGGCTACAAACTTTACATTCATAAAAATCTAAACTTTCACAGTTTTAACATTAGTAAAATATGTATGTACATATGTTGTAAACGTCAATAAATCATTGATGAGAGTTTTATGTTCCTAAATAGAAGTTGCCATACACGGACACGCACTAGATGAACTGCCGACTCTTTGAACCCACGTACAGCAAACTGCCGCTGACCGCCTGAAGCTGACACTGCCGATAGTAAGCTGTACGTTTACAGCGGCCCTTAGAATTACTATTTCTTTTGGCACCCCTCATCTTATTACAAAGTTCCATTTAATATGAAAGCTGAAATCTATTTATATCCAACTTTACTATAGGATTAACACTTTGACATAAAATAGGTTTTATGGAGTACTGAAGCATTATGGAACGTAATGCAGGGTTAATAAGATTGTATAAGAACGCCCACCTGTCTCATATAGGCCAAAATTGATTTAATAAGGTTATATCTAAACTTATGGGGGTAGACAGGTAAAAGAATTTTTGCACACACAAATGTGTCAGAATCTGTAATTAATTGTTTAAGAGATACATTTGATTTGTAAATGATTTTTGAATTTTTCTTTTTGAAAATAATAATTTTTTTTGAACACGTAAAACATAGTAGTGGTATTTTCCTGCCCTTTTTACTATATTAGTCATCTAAATATTACTAGCTGTTCCCATGCGACTTCATCCGCATGAATTTATAAAAAAATCATTTTATTGTTTACATGTTTCAAATTATCAATTGCACATGTCAAATGACATGATGTCAAACCATGGCAACCTTGCTTCCTTATGTTGGCAACAACTTATGGTCTCTTTCCCACATTGGGGTTTTTATCCAAAATATTTACCCCTAAGTTTAACGGCGTGGAAATATATAACCTAAAGCATGACGTAAATGTAGGGCTTTTTAATAAAAGAAGAATTATTCAAAAATATGTTGTAATTGCTGACATCTTGGGCAACAAAAAGTGTGTGTTTACGCTTTATTATAATAGTATAGATAATACATTAGCTATGTTTTCATTATTATTTAATACCACCAAAGTACAATATTTTCCTATTAAGTGCTTATTTGATTTTGCGCGAACTAATAAATTAAGTGGTAGCCTAACTTAGTAAAATCATTTACAACTTGTCTAACATTGATTAAAGTTAAATTTGGATATTTTGAGTTTCGACGATGTTGATAATCAATCAATTTGTTATAATACGAATTAACATTATAGAAATGTAAAGTATAACAAACTAGTTGTTGCCCGCGACTTAGTCTTAACTTAGTTAGACTTGAAAATAAAAAAAATATTAATTAAGCGAAAGCGTTTTAATAGCCGGTTTCGGCCCAGTAGTTTTTGAGTCATTTCAATACATGCAAAAATACAAATCTTTCCTTTTTATAACATTAGTATAGATGAAAAAAAATTTGCTATTAAAATCATTGTTGAATTTGATAAGGTTATTTAAGGTCGGTTTACACTTCTGTGGTTTGTTTTATAATAAGTTCGAGAGGTTTACCTTCTTTCTTAATCTTAAAAAGTTTCTTTGCTTTTCATTACCTAGTTTCAAAGGCTATGCTGCATGTCTAAAGGTGTGTACTGATTGATGTTACGCGGTGTAATGTTGATGTTATAAGGCGAGCATTCAGTTAGTACGTGGTGCTAGGAAATCAGCAACGAGCTAGAAGTATATATTAGCTATTGCCTGCGACTTCGTTCACTCAATATTGATATAAAAAGTAGCCTATGATATGTCCGTCTTTATCAGCTACCCTTCAGCGAAAGTCCGGTCGAAAACGGCCCAGGCGCTTCGGCGATTATCCGGAACACGCGGCTTTAAAATGCTACTCGTTATCAGCAATGCACATACATCATCTGAAATCTGAAATTTTACTTTTGATGTTACAGACACTCCAATTTTATTATATGTATAGATAGATAGGAAGCAAGGATATTGTAAAGGAAACAAAACAAATTTTCGATACTTGATGATTTATTTGACATCGTAACTGTAATACGTTATAACAACTAAGTAATCTAATATCCGAATCCAGTATTTAAATAATTATCCTAAACAGTAGAGAATGTTGTATGTATGTAGAGTGATAAACAGCGATATTTGAAATACTATATTTTTAATTTTAAATTGACATTAAATACAATGAAAGTCCCAGCCTATATTTAAGTTTTATATTTCAATAAAGATGCCTTTCCCCTTTTTAAATATACGCTATAACATCAAGATATTTGTTAAACTTTGAGAAGAAGACTTATCATTCAATGAGATCTCTAGACAGCTACCAAAAACATCTAATACCTTAGTCTTTTATCTCTTAACAATAAAATCTTTCAAGTAATAGATCCTTTTTTGTAATCAGATTTACATTTACATTACATTACATTCAGATTCACATTAAAAAGTAAAGAAAAAAACAGCCTAAAGACATATCTTAGGATAGATTTATAATATATGGACAATTTTCTCAATATTAAAATGTCATTTAAAATCCTGTCATCGTAAATACACTATTTACAATAATTATAAGAGAAATTTAACGTTTTAGTCCAATAAAAAGTTTAAATTATATAATTTTTGCATTTTTCAAATCATTCATCGTATTTTTTTTCTATTTATTCATATCACAGTACAGTAAATTTAATATATAAAATTATATAATAAATAAAGCGATCGTAGTAATAATAGATTAACATAATATAGAGAATTAACTAGCCATGTTCATTTGTTTAAACCACGTTTCTGAGTAACTCTTCAGAAGAGAGGGCGCCATCCTGAAATTAATATCACAATAATTATATAATACTAAGTATAGATAAAATTAAAAACCGACTTCCAAACAAAATACACTAAAAAAATATAACTAAAAAGTAACAAAATAGTAAACCTCCCTTATTGTAGCTGTTATGTCTATATTGTACAATTATTATCACTTTTAAGCCGGTTTCCACATTTTTACCATAACAATTGACAATTGAAAGTATAGCAACGTTTAAGTAATGAATCTACATTGCCTGACACCGACTTCAAAGTAATTTTAAAAAAATTCGTAAAAGTTATACTCTTCATTTTTGTCAGGGGTCTATTTTTAGGTTATTTTGTAAAAAAAATCACTCATAAAAAGTCAAAAACTATGTACCTACATTTAAATACTAGTAGAAAGTTCAATAATAAGGTCACAGTGTAGTGTTAATTTAAGTATATCAAACATAAGTGATATCAAATTTGAATACTACAATCGAATTGATAGTACTACACTGTGTATTCGTATTATTTATCCAATCACATTAGCTGAATTGCTACGTTTATTATTGCTGCAGCGTTTCAAATTTAGATGATTACTGGTGGCATCTAATTAGGATGAGTTTAGAAGGCCTTTAAACGACAATGTTGTTAATAATTTACTATTATTATATTACAAATATGTAATGTTTGTTCATGATCTTTAAAGTAGTTGACGTTATTTTAAAACAGACAATAAAATGTTTTACGTAATAACTTCATACATGTCCTCATTAAGGGTGGTCACTAGCAAAACCAATTGCATATTCCTTAAAAAAAATATGGTATGAAAAAGTGTTGTTACCTGATTGAGGTCAACAAACTTTCGCACGACAGATCGGGCAAAGTCCGGGTTGTTCAGCATTTCATTCACGAACCAATCCACTGGGATGCTTTGAATGTAAAAAATTAATGTATAACAAAAGTGTGAACCATTTAATGATTGTGCCACTTCACACAAAGGTGTTAAAGATTTCTCCATTGAAAGGTGAACCATTACAGATATTTTATTAAAAAGTCATCACATTAACTTATTTAATTTAGGATTAAGGGAGGACGCACATCTTTCACTAAACTCTCGCACAGCTATTGTTCGATTGTCGATTGTTTCGCAGCCATTTCAACTGTTTAGTTGCACAACTAAAAACAGAGTAGTGTGCATACCTCTATAAGCTCATAGGAATCAAAGCGCGACTAAACAGTGTGCGATAGCATAGTCAAAGGTTTTTTTTTATATGAGAAGGGGGCAAACGAGCGGCGGAAACACAAAGGTGGTCAACGACGCCCATGGACATCAGCAACACCAGAGGAACTACAGATGCGTTGCCGGCCTTTGAGGAAATTGTAGGCTCGCTTCTTGAAGGACCCTAAGTCGTATTGGTTTGGAAATACCGCCGAGGACAGACCGTTCCTCAACGCGGCTGTGCGGGGCAGAAAGTTCCGCGAAAACCGCACGGTTGTGGAATACCAGCCATCAACATAGGTTTGCGCGCGCTCTAAGATCTATTTTCTTACAATTGTTTGTATAGTAGAAAACCTCGAGAACATTAATAAAACGAAAGTCATGACACATTAAATTCCTATATCAACATTTTAATCTTGTATTTTGTTTTGTAATATAATCTATGAAGATTAAGAACTTTGCTCGTTGTCTTAAAAGTTTGTTAACTTTGAGACATCTTTTACTTAACGTTACTATCCTATTTAAAAGTTGGAGAGTAATGAGATATTTTTGTTTTGCTAAATCTTTTGAAATGTCAAGCTTATATTATATTAGTCTACGTATCGATCATTCAAATATGTCAAAAGACATTAAAGTCAAACTTAACAAGTTAAAGTTAAGAAATAAGTTTATTATGAAGAATAAAAGACATCCAAAATTAGGAGATTACCAAGTCCACAGTAATGTTGCTGTTAGTCATAATCTATTTTAAATTCATAATATATTTTCTAATTACTTAAACTCTAGGTTTGCGTTTTTATTATTTGTATAAATTTGCACATATGTCCTAACAGAATAGAGTTCTTTATCAATTAAAATGGCTTCTAATTGAATTACCTTTCAACAACTTTCTCTTCGTTCTCCTGTTCCTTCTCCGGCATATTCTCAAGCGACTCCCAGATGTTCTCCAATCCGAATACTGTAATTTATAAAAAGATAAGAATCCATTCAACATTGTATAATGAGTTATTGTCAGTCAGCCACGACAATACGTAATAAGCAACATTTCGGTTACAATATTTCTTAAGACCTCATCACACATTGAAAGCGCTTAACTAAATACAATCTTGTCATTGATTGTTCTTTCCTAGTCCGCAACAAAAGGTCACCTCATATTTTTGTTGTCCCATTCCTCCATTACAGTTCTAAATACGGAGTGAAAGAGATGCATTGTAACTAAAGCTTTAATAACTTCATAGAAGATAATTAAGCACCTAAAGACAATATGCTCCAAGCTAGCGAGAGACGTGTTTAAACGCCGTTTAAAGCTGTCTGTACAAACAGATTGAGTCCGTGTATGTTTACATGTTATATGTAGGTTTTGTATTTCATGTTATGTTTGGTTACGTTTACCGAAGCGAACCTTTCGTGTTAGGTTATGAAGACGGTCCCTGGGGGTCTTTTCGGTTGACATGTAATGTATTAAATAAATACTGGTTATATGTACAGTATCTATAGAACTGAATACGAAGACAAATATTTAATAATCGCCAATATGTGGGTGTTTGTCCTTTATATTGGCTTCGAAATCTTCTTCAATAATCGGTTTACCTCGACCGCGTCGTGTCTCATCTCGTTTGCCGTAGCCTCTTGCGATAAGTATGTTTGAATTGGGCTTAAAAGTGCCCCTTGTCACTCTTATTTCCACCTCTGTTAGAATTCGTTTTACCTTATTTATAACTTTGTAAACAATAATATTTAGAATCTAAACTCAAGCAAGATTCCTTCGCTTAAAATTAAAAGCATTTTGGATATCTCAAAGCACTTGATATTTTTTTAGAATTACCTTCATCATTAACATCATTGTAACCGCTCCTTTTGCCAAAATCAGAGGCAACCATTAACTTTGTCTTGGGCCTAAATATCTTGCGTGGTGCGTCAAAATTATCTAGACAAATGTATAAGTTTTTTAAGTAGTGTTCAATTGTTTTTGTATGAAAATAGGTGTAATTTGTAGACAGTAATTTGAGAATGGCAATGTACTTGTTTTATTTGTTTCAAATTAAATTTTAAATCTTCAGTTACAATGTAACGTTACCATTAATAAATTTTATAACTCTTTAGAACTGAATAAGAATAAATAAGCCAACAAGTACGTTGCCAAAATGTAAACAGTAATAGTTTTAGCAAATTATCATCACCAGTCAAATTGGCATTATATTGTTTAGCTTTTAAATATTCTTACATATAACAACTCCACAAGTACGAGATCAATAACAAGTTGAGGACATAAACAAGAAAATATCAAGATTTAATGTAGATGGTTATAAAGATAGAGGAAGACCGAAGAAATAATGGATGAAAAGAACTGGGAAGGGAGTGAATTCAGATAGGACGGTTGATAGAAACGTATGGAAGAGCAGCATATACTATGCCGACCTGTAGGGACAAAGCAGGTTGATGATAAACTCCACAAGTATACAGTAGTACATTATAACGTAAGTTTTAACGTATAAGTAAAAAACATAATATAAAACCATTTATATATGTTTCATTTTACACACAGCATTGGCACTTTCCAACTTCAATTTGATTTTAAAACGTATGCATGCAGCGTAGTGGCTAAGTAACCAATAAATCGTCTTTGAAGCAGAAAACCTCCATCGTATTGAGAATTCACTTGAAGTAAATTTGATTTCAACACAAGCAACATATAAAAGGCCCGTAGGAGGGATTCCTGAGTCAATGTAGTTCCCCGTGTAGGAACTGTTTGCTAGTTCCACAGTCCCCGAGCAAATTGGTGTTTCAATCAAAGCCGGAAACCGAATTACACCTTTCTATACCTTCGAGTTCCAGTTCCGGTGTTCTTTTTCCGAAATCCCTCGCTATACCGACCGTGGGGCTTTTAAATGTGGGCGTCCCGCGACTCGCGCGTGCCGATGATGATTGATGTTCTACGTCGCCTTTAGAAATCATTTCAATTGAGATCAACAATAACAAATGAAATACGACCATATATCGAAGGAAAGACTATCAATAATTATTCATAAGGCTTTTCAGTCTTATTAGTTTTATTATTTGACCATGTTCTCTATCACTATTAGTACATATTTGTCAATCGTAAAAGCAAAACAAGTAAGTTATAATTCTACATAATCTATGCTATTTTTAACAAGGCACATCTATTGACGGGTAGAAGACTCTTGTAAACTGCTCCCACTGAATAAAATATATGACAATCTGTAAACTTTAAAATGTAAACTACAAAACTTGAAAGGATATGTAAAGTTATGAAATTCTTCAAAAATATATAATAGATTTTCCGTCCCATTAGTCACTACTAATGCAAGTTTAGCTTGACACAAGATGGATGCCCGTGGAGTACTATTTGAAAATAGCGTTACATAAGTGACATTTTAAAATGATTTATTTTAAAATAGCTTTCTCAAGCGACTTTGTCCGCGTGGAAATAAAAAAAGCCTTTGTGTTTTTCAAGAACATCCCCTACATGCCACTTTTCATCAAGATCCGTTCAGCAGTTTAGGCGACAAACTCTAACAAACATTCACATTTATAATATTAGTATGAAGTAAGATGACATAATATAACCAAACTTCATATGAGAATAATGACGTAAACACAAGAAATGTGCGCTTTCTTACAATACGCTCGATACCAAGTATCTTATTACATTTTACTTTTTTATGTCAACATAGGTCATTGCCGTCAGGTATAACTGGCCAACTACTCTAATGTTCAATTATAATTCGCTTTTGTCTTCTTAACTTACTATTTTATATTGTCTAATGTAATTGAATTTTCCTGAGGCAAAAAATGTTTTTGAAGCATAAACAATTTTCATAATTTCGATATATTTCTACTATTACCAAGCGGTATTCCATCGTTTAACATTTATTCTATTGTTTACTTTCACATTTTTAAATGTGGAAAACATTTTTATTGCTTATTACGTACATGTTTGAAATTGAAATTTCAATGTATGTTTACACATGTATTTATTCACTTTCCATCAATTCAGTACCAATTTGCCCCTAAAACTTCGACCCGTAATAAGATTATTCTGATAAAATACCTCCGAGGAAGCCGTAACAATAACGAGAAGATGCAGGCCGCCTCTAACTGAATTAACGTCTATTTAAATTAATATAAAATTGAACAGTAACTCTGAAACTCCCCCATTGTTTATATTTAAGTTTGATGATATCAGATCTTTCGAAATATCATCAATCAATTTAGAAAGTTTGAAAACCTTTAATTGATTAAAATGTACATTGTCATCTATACATGTAATAAAATTGGTGTGTCTGTTTGTAATAGAAAAAGAAATGTTCCAGATATCGTGAAGATCATATATATGCGTTGCTGATAACAAAAATCGCATTTAAAAAAATTGTCTGTCTGTCAGACTGTCTGTCTGCAAGCCGTGTTTGTTCCGGATAATCACCGAAACGGCTCTTATAGTTTCGACCGGACTTTCACTGAAGGGTAGCTGACATAGACAGGAATATAGGCTAATTTATGTTTCGGAAATAGCTATGGTTCCCGCTGGATATACTGTTTTTTGTATTTTACATGGACGTAGTCGCGAGCAAAAACTAGCTATATTGAAAATTACATTTATAGACACAACTTAGATGGTTGATGAAGTTTATTTTAGCTAACCTGTCTCAATCCAGTTGAAAGTCTTTATAAGACACTAAACCTAAGTAAGTTTACATAGGTTATCCACATAATCGTTTATTAACAAAGTTTAACTTTATTGTATTATCTCCTCGGTATGAACAACATGAGATTCTATGCAACTTCGATGAATATTAAAGTGGCTTAAATATATGTAAATTCTGCTATGTTACAATGGCGGTGATATTTTAATAACACTGCATTTGAGGTGATTAAATAGAAAATCAATCTTAGATTTATAGCCTACGTGTTGGACCATCACATTCCAGATGACCTTGAAAGGGTTGAAAATTGTTCGTTACTTCTATATTGAGCACATGCCTTCTTATAAGACATAAAGATTATGACAGACTGGAGAAGACAACAG